ATCAGTCCCTTGATTTTTCAAATTTAATTTTTTGGTTATTTGTCTATAAAATTAAAAAGTCTAGTTAAGCTAAGTTCTACATCAGCCTGCCTCTTCGTGGATACTAAAAGTCATGTTCACATTCTTGCTTAACACAATCACTGAAGAAATGTCTTGGTATGTTGATTCTTCCCACAACATGAGGTCAACAGAAAGTCGAGCTTGAAGTTAGAGTTATCCAATGTTCACAAACTAGAAAATTCTAAGACAGCAGGTACTTAGTGTAATTATAAACAATCAATATTTCTTTATTACATTCCAGATCACTCGTTTCCACAGTTTTTATTTGGCAAAAAGAGGTCACACACACACACACACACACCTTGAGGCTTCACATCTTTAAATGTGAAGTGCTTAGAATATAATGCCTCAAACAAAGTAAATGTTCAAAAATGTCTGTAATTACTAATACCATTCTAAGAAACACAGGTAACAGACCCTTATTCTTCAATTTCCTTCAAAATATAAATAAATACATGGTACTAAAACCAGATCCACTTTTTTTTTATTTTTGCATTTTTTATGGCGTTGAGAACAAAATCAATTTTTAATGAATATGAATTGAACATACTGAAGTACAGGATCGATAAAAACTTTGTAAACTGTACCCAAGAATTTTTAAAGTTCTAAATTATACTTACTGGTATTTAACTATGACCTTAAAATTAAAATAACTGAGATAATCAGGAAAAATGCTGCTAATATAAAGACCTCATCTTTGCACTGCATTTTTTACATGTGCAAAGTTGTATTTCATTTCATGGCCATATTACTATAAAATAATTAAACGTATTTTATAAAATGTAAGTCATAAACATACTAAATGCAGTAAAGGACCATACAAGGAATATTTATACTGTGACCATATAATGATACCTCACCCAGCAAAAAAAATTCTGTTCAATAACAGTACCTTCATGTAAACAAAGTATAGGTGAAAGCTGTTTCAAAAAAAAAAAAAAGGATTATATTTTTTAAACAGTCCTATTGCAATACTATAAGTGTGTTTTTAATAGAAATAAATGTTAATTTAAAAGTAACAGTAGCTAGGCAAGGTGGCTCACACCTGTAATCCCAGCACTTTGGGAGACCAAGGCAGACAGACCACTAGAGCTCAGAAGTTCGAGACCAGCCTGGGCAACATGGCAAAACCCCATCTCTACAATTAATAAAAAAAATTAACTGGATGTTGTGGCACATGCGTATAGTCTCAGCTACCAGGGAGGCTGAGGCAGGAGGACCAATTGAGCCCTGGAGGTCCAGGCTGCAATGAACTGTGATTACGCCACCACACTCCAGCCTAGGTGACAGAACAAGACCCTGTCTCAAAATAATTAATAAATAAATAATAAAAGTAACTGGATGTAATGTCCAGTTTTATACATAGCTGCTAAAGATGTTTCTTTACTTTAGATTTCAAAAAAAAAAAGGATTTACTTGGAAATCATTCAAACATGCAGAAAAGTTGTAAGAATAGTTCAAAGAGCTTCTACATATCCTTTAGCCTGATTTGACCAATTGTCAACATTTTGCATTATTTTCCATGTCATAAACATATTTTCTGAACCATATGAAAGATGCACATATCACACCTTTTTACATCTAAATACTTCAACTGTATCCCCTAAGAACAAAGGGGATACAGTTCTCTTAAATATCTACAGTATAATTACTAAATCCAGGAAACAAGTTACACCATATCTTAATGTAATACCTATTTTCTCTCTTTTTTTTCAGTTGAGCAAAAATGCCCTCCAAGACGTTTTTCCTCCTCCAGTACAGAATCCAATCCAGGGTCATGTACTGCATTTAGCTGTCATGTCTATCTAGACCTAGACTTCTTTAATTTGAAACACTTTTCTTTCAGTAAATACTTTTTTTTTTTCCCCCAAGACAGGGCCTCACTATGTTGCCCAGGCTGGACTTGAACTCCTAGGCTCAAATGATACTCCTGCCTCAGCCTCCTGGATAGCTGGGACTATAGGTCCACACCAATGCACGTGGCTTCTGCTAAATACCTTTTAAACGATTTTATCTTTACATGATATCTGCAACATAAGATTTTAAAAGTTGAATTCTTAAAAAAAAAAAAAACTATATAGAGAAGTTCCATTAAAAAAAAAAAAAAGAGGTTCAGTGGAAGAGCTGTGAAAAGTTCAGGAGACTTAAATAAAAAATATATACATATCTCACTGTTGCCCAGGCTGGTACAATCTCGGCTCACTGCAACCTCTGCCTTCTGGGTTCAAGCAATTCTCCTGCCTCAGCCTCCCAAGTGGGTAGGATTATAGGCTCCTGCCAATACATCTGGCTAATTTTTTGTATTTTTAGTAGAGATAGGGTTTTGCCATGTTGGCCAGGCTGGTCTTGAACTCCTGACCACAGGATCCACCCACCATGGCCTCCCAAAGTGCTGGGATTACAGGCATAAGCCACCACAACTGGCCTACAGTACATATATTTTAAAGCTTTATAATGAGGAGGTTTCTAGATTTCTTTGAGATTATATTCTTTCTGTTAAATAGAAATATATAATCAATTTGTACAAAAAAAACTGACCAAAAATTTGATTGCTATCTGTAGAAAATGGATCTAGGCCACCACTGTGACTCATGCTTGTAAATCTCAGCACTTTGGGAGGCTGAGACAGAAGGACAACTTAAGTCTGGGAGTTCTAGACCAGACTAAGCAACACAGTAAGACCTTATCTCTACAAAAAATAAACAAAATTAGCTCGGCATGGTAGTATGCACCTACAGTCCCAGCTAGTCAGGAGGCTAAGATGGGAGGATCGCTTGAGCCTGGGAGGTGCAGCGAGCTGAGATTGCACCACTGCACTCCGGCATGGGTGACAGAGCAAGACCCTGTTTCAAAAAAAAAAGTGGGGAGCTGGGCATGGAGGCACACGCCTGTGATCCCAACACTCTGGGAGGCAGAAGCGGCGGGAACACATGAGGTCAGGAGTTTGAGACCAGCCCATCCAACATGGCAAAACCCCATCTCTACTAAAAATGCAAAAATTAGCTGGGCATGGTGGCGCACGCCTGCAGTTACAGCTGCTCACGTGGTTGAGGCTCAAGAATCATTTAAACCCAGGAGGTGGAGGCTGAAAGAAGCCAAGATCATACCACTGCATTCCAGCCTGGGTTACAGAGCAAGACTCTGTCTCAAAAATTAAAATAAATAAAATTTTTTTAAAGGATCTACAGAAAATTACTATTTTCATCAAAATTCTCTCCTCTGTTAACAAAAACACCCAGTCTCTATAGGCAAACCTTTAAAAAAAGTGCAATGACTTTTGATCATGCGTAAATATAATACATATTGGAACCAGCACATACTTTGTTCTTTCACTGGATACTTGCTCTGTGCCAACTATGTGCCAGGCCTATGCTAACTGTGGGGTTGGGGAATCCAGGTGTGAGCTAAAAAGGCATGGTACTTACTCTTAGGAAACTTGTAATTTAGCAAACCACCAAGACTCCTGCTTTCAGATAGGAAAGTTATTAGTTTTCCCTAATTTGGAAATGAAGCAATTAGATTCAGAATGGTAAATGTGCCCCGAGTCACATAACTAAGTGTTCTCAAGAGACAAAGAAGGTAAACACGAAAATTATGGTCTTCTATGTCCTAATATAGTACTTAACTTGCCTGTGTCTGATTACAAAAGAGTTCCTCAACTATATCCTTTAGGCCTCAACTATATCCATTGACTCCAAAGGGACAGTGTACTTTCATCCCCAATGAATTACTTCTGTTTCATTGAGTCAGTCATCAACTAGTCTCTTAAGTACTGAAGATATTAGGTACATAAGGTATTATAATAACATTAAAACTTAATTAAAAACAAAGTAGCATACTAATTTTCTTTCTACATATTCCCATTTATATTCATTTTAGAATAAAAATAATAGAAGAATCCATTTCCCCTCATGTATTATTTTAAAACAACACAGGTGATATAATGAGAGTATGGCTTATACTTTCCACAAAAGAAAAAAGTACAGATAAGTCGCTGAGAATTGGCACGAACTCCTACCTCCGTCTAATATCCCCCCAGTTCATCTCTCAAACCATAGCACTCAAATCTATAAATACTTCTCCAGCCACGTACAGCAAGGATCAGCTAGGCTTATTCTGTAAAAGGCCACAGGGCCCTTTCACAGCCCTGTAAAAGGCCTTCATGATGACATGATGGCCATGATGTCACCAGGCAATAGGGATTTTTCAGCTCCATTATAATTTGATGGGACCACTGTAGCATATTTGGTCCATCACTGACCATGTAATGCATGACTGTACTTAACTGCTGCTACAAGCTAAAAGCAGTCATATACAAAACATAAAAAATAAGTGGCTATTGTTCAAATAAAGCTTTACTCATAAACAGTAAAATTTAAATTCCATATAACTTTCATGTATTACAAATTAGTCTTCTTGAGATTTTTTCCAACCATTTACAAATGCAAACACCACTCTTAGCTCATACCAAAGCAGGCAGCAGGCTGGATGAATTTGGTAGTATGCAGATCCTGGCGAAACTTGCTTGTATATAGGAGCTGCAGTCTGGTCCTTCTTTTACCTCACTCCACTGACACTTTATCTCTATACCCAACACCTGGCAGGAAATAATTCTTTTTCAACTTTCAGTCATTTGCAAATTATCTTCCTTTAACTCAGGAAGAGATAAGTTATAATTCTTACTTTAAGCACTAATTTTGAAAAATTTCAGGAATTGCTAAAAATAAAATACATCTGGATTTCAATCATGTTTCCCAATGAATAACTTTCTTCCTCCTCGTAAGAATGAAAATTCTAAAGATAAATAAAAGCTGCCAAGGAAAGTAGCAGATCATTCCCCAAGTATTTTTATAATTCCTTGTCCTATGCGTCCACCAGGACACTCCAAATCCCACCCTAACATGATTAAGGGGAAAAATAACAAAACAAAGATAGCATACCTTTGAGCTCAAAATGATGATTGAAGGTATCTAGCGAAACTCGCCAAGTTCTAAAGATTCATCTAAGAGGACTGTAGAATTATCCAAAGGCATCTTACAATGTAACACAATCAGCTTCTGAGTTTCAGCAGCTTTGCAGGAAAAAATAAAAATAAAAATTCTGTTAAAAAAAAGAGCAGATGCTGAAATAATGCTAATCAAATTTTAAGTAACATCAATTCTAGTATTTTTATTTCATCAATATATAGAACATTTATTGTGAGCCTCCTCTACGTGCCGAGAATTGGGAATGTGTCAATAAACAGGTCAGATCTCATTAACCCTTCTGGGAACTCAATTTATAGGGCAACTGTAAAGGGGACAAAAAGCTTGAAACATCATGAGGGTGTGAAGGGAAAGCATAATAGAGATACAAACCAGTTTGCTGGGAATTGGTTAGAAAAGTTCTCCTAGGCTGGGTGCAGTGGTCGCACCTGTAATCCCAGCACTCTGGGAGGCTGAGGTGGGCGGATCACTTGAGGTCAGGAGTTCAAGATCAGCCTGGCCAACATGGTGAAATCCCATCTCTACTAAAAATACAAATATTAGCCAGGCATGGTGGTGCACACCTGTAATCCCAGATACTGGGAGGCTGAAGCAGGAGAATAGCTTTAATCTGGGAGATGGAGGTTGCAGTGAGCCGAGATGGCGCCACTGCACTCCAGGCTGGGTGACAGAGCAAGATTCCATCTCAAAAAAAAAAAAAAAAAAGTTATCCTAAAGGAGGAGAATTGGAATTAAATGCAAGAATGTGTATGATCTAGTCAAATAAAGCAAGAGGGAGAGGTGAGAAAGAAAATTTTTGTCCAAAGTGAACACAGTGTGTTCAAATGGCCAGGCATATGACATTTGTGTGGAAGTAAAATAAGTCCCGTGTAGATGCTCAGAATCAAACAGCAAATGAGAAAGGGCATTTCCTGAGATAAGATGGGCAAAGAAAGAAAGTAAAAGGTGGAGCAATTTGCCCTGAATCACACAGGGCTAAAGCAGAACCCACTTTAAACCCTTACCACTTGACTGCACTATACTAGCCATTCTGATGTTCTGAGCAGGAAAGCTAAAAGTTCCTGGAGAGGAATTTCAGAGAACTTTCTCGAGTGCCCAAGTAAGGACTGCCCTGGGCCAACAGCTGTTATCCACGGATGGATAAAATAATCAACTGATCATCAAGGGTCTATTGTGCAGAATGAGAAAAAAGTCTCATAACAATTCTCAACTAATAATTAACAACTACCAAGCAGTTTACTATGTGTAATGTAAAGCCCTGTTTTAAGCACTTGACACGTATTAAATAAGTCTTTAAAACATCACTATCAAGCGGTTATTTTATTATCCTGTTTACCTAGAATGGTTTTAATGACACAGTCCAATTATGGCTATTAACTTTCTTTTATTGACAAAATTAAAATTCTCAGAAACGTCAACAATACTTCTTGACACAATATTAAAAAGCACTTTAGTCACCCTTCTATCAGAAAAGTACTATGTAAGTATCAACAACAAAAAAAGACTTTAGAGCATGAATTTGGTTCCTTTATCTTTTCTAATTTAACACCACTGTTTTAGGTCCACATAGAAAACTGAGTGTAAAGTACAGAGATTTCCCATATACCCCCTGACTCCACAAATTCATAGCCTTCCCCATATTCAACATCCCCCACCAGAGTGATACATTTATAACAACTGACAAACCTATACTGACACATCCTTTGCAGTTAACTTTAGCGTTCACTCTTAGTGCTGTAAACTTTATGGGTTTGGACAAACATAATGGCATGCATCCACCATCATATCATACAGAATAGTTTCATTGTCCTAAAAACCCTCTGTGCCCTGCATATGCATCACTCCCCTCACTTACCCTATACCCAAATTCATCTTTTTATTACCTCCATAATTTTGCCTTTTCCAGAATGTCATAAAGTTGGAATCATACAATATGTAGTCTTTCAGATTGGTTCCTCTTTCACTTAGTAAATACACATTTAATGTTCCCCCGTGTCTTTTCATGGCTGATAGCTAATTTCTTTTTGGCACTGATTGACATTCCATTGCCTGGATATACCACAGTTTATCAGCTCACATGGTAAAAGACATTTTGGTTGCTTCCAAGTTTTGGCAATTATTTATTATTCTTTCTCTCTTTCTTTTTTGAGACAGAGTTTCACTCTTGTCACCCAGGCTGGAGTGCAATGGTGTGATCTCTGCTCACTGCAACCTCCGCTTCCAGGATTCAAGTGATTCTTCTGCCTCAGACTCCCGAGTAGCTGCGATTACAGGCATCCACAATGCCCAGCTAATTTTGTATTTTTAGTAGAGTCAGGGGTTCTCTATGTTGGTCAGGCTGGTCTCAAACTCCTGATCTCAGGTGATCCACCCGCCTTGGCCTCCCAAAGTGCTGGCTGGGATTACAGGTGTGAGCCATTGCACCTGGCCCTGGCAATAATTTAAAAGGATGCTATCAATTTCCATATAAAGATTTTTGTATGGACATAAATTTTTAATTCTTTGGTTGCTAGATCATATGGTAAGTATGTTTAGTTTTGTAAGAACCTGTCAAACTGCCTTTCAACAAGGCTGTGCCATTTTACATTCTAATCAGCAACGAATGATAGTTCCTACTGCTCCACATCCTCACCAGCACTGGGGATAGTCAGTATTTTGGATTTTCACCATTCAAATATGTATGTAGTGATATCTCATTTTAATTTGCATTTCTATGATGACAGATGATATGATGCATCTTTTCATATGCTTCTTTGCCATCTGTATATCTTCTTTGGTAAGGTATCTCTCAGGGTACTTGGCCCATTTTCTAAATGGTTTGTTGGTTCTCTTACTGTTAAGAGTTTGTTGTGTACTTTGGACAAAAGTCCTTTATCATATATGTCTTTTGCATATATCTTCTAGTCTGTGGTTTGTCTTTTTATTCTCTTGATAAGAATAAAACTTTCCTTTCGCAGAGAAGAAACTTTAAATTTTAATTAAATTTAAATTTTTCTAACATGGAGGTCTTTGATGTTGAGGATGAAAACTCGCTGCCAAACTCAAAGTCATCTGGATTTTTTCCCATATTAACTTCTAGGAGTTTTATGCTTTTACAATTTACATTTAGGTCTATGATCCATTTTGAGTTAATTTTTATGAAGGGTATAAGGTCTGCCGAGATTCATTTTTTTGCACATGGATATTCAGTTGTTCCAGTACCATTTGTTGAAGACCATCTTTTCTCCATTGCATTGTCTTTGCTTCTTTATGAACCATCAGTTGACTATGCAATCAGGCATTTCACAACAATGTTTCAGGACGGACTGTATATATGATAGTGGTCCCATAAGATCATAATGGAGCTGAAAAATTCCTATTGTCTAGTGACTTTATAGCTGTTGTAGCCATCGTAACATTGTAGTGCAATTACTTTTTAAACACATTTAGCGTAGTCTAAGAGTACAGTGTATATAAAGTCTACAGTGGTATACACTCATGTCCTAGGCCTTCACATTCACTCATCACTCCCTCACTGACTCACCCTATGCAACTTCTAGCCGACAAGCTCCATGGTAAGTACTCTACATAAAGTATGCCATCATCTTTTACTGTATTTTTATGTTCCTTTTCTATGTTTAGATATGTTTAGATACACAAAGTATTACTGTTATATTAAAATTGCTTATAGTATTCACTACGGTAACATGCTGAACAGTCTAAGAACAACACACTATACCATAAGGCCTAGGTGCAGAGTAGGCTATACATCTAGGTTTGTGTAAATATACTCTATGATATTTGAACAATGACAAAATCATCCAACAATGCATTTCCCATCTCAGAATGTATCCCTGTCATTAAGTGACACATGACTGTATTGATGTGGGTCTATTCCTGGGCTATCTATTCTGTTCCACTGATCTATTAAAATATGTGTCTATGCTTTCACCAATACCACACTGCTTGATGACTATAGTTGTACAGTAAGTCTTGAAGTCAGGCAATGTTGAATCTCCAACTTTGTTCTTTTGTTTTTTCAATCTTAAGTTGCCTATTCTGGGTCTTTTGCCTTTCCATATAAACTTATTAGAATAAGTTTGTTGATATATACAACAAACTGCAATTTTGACTAGGATTATATTGAGTTTAAAAATAAAACTGCAAAGAAGTGACATCTTGTTAACAGTGTTCCTATCCATGAACATCTGTTTAGCTCTTGTTTGATTTCTTTCATCAGTTTTGAAGTTTTCCTTGTACATATTTTATACATATTTTATTAGATTTATACCTAAGTATTTATTTTGGGAGATATTAATGTAATAGTATTATGTTGTTAATTTTACAATTCCACTTGTTCACTGCTGGTATATACAAACATAAACTACTTTTGCATATTAACCTTGTATCCTGCTACCTTGTGCTTATTGATTCCAGTTTGTTTGTCAATTCTTTTGGATCTTCTACACAGACAATCATATCATCTTACAAACAAAATTAGTTTTATCTCTTCTTTCCCAATCAGTATACATTTCATTTTCTTATCTTGTTGCATTAGCTAGAACTTCCAGTATGATGTTGAAAAGGAGTGGTAAAAGGGAACATCCTTATCCTGTTCCTAATCTTACTGGAAACTTTAAGTTCTAGATTCTCACCATTACATATGACATTAGCTACAGTTTTATTCTCACATTCATAAAACACTTTTAAATTTTCCATTCATATCCCAACACCAACACCTAATTCAGTGATGCTCTTTACTGCATTTAGGCTGTTATGTCCCTTTACCTCGTTTAAAAAAATTATTGTTTACACCACTCTGAGGCACAATTCACATACTATAACAGTCACACATTTAAAACCTACAATTCAGCATTTTTTTAGTATATTTACAGAGTTGTGCAACTATCACTAAAATCTAATTTTAGAACATTTTTATCCCCCTCCCACTTTGCTGAGCTGTAGATTTTTTTTTATAGATGTTCTTTCTCAAGTTGAAGAAGTTCCTCTCTATTCCAAGTTTTCCAGTTACAGAGAGTTTTTTTTTTTTTTAATTTTTTTAAATCATGAATGGGTGTTGGGTTCTGTCAAATGTTTTCTAAACATC